CGATTTTGGTGGGACGTCTCAGCTAAAATTGCCGTTTGGCCTCCCCAACATGTCTCTCTTGAGAGCCTCATGGTCACAAAACGCTGCCAGGGGCATCATTTGGGAGCCCCAAGGGGGAGCCACCCTGGCTGATCTCACGAGCCCGTTCGCGCCGATTTTGGTGGGACGTCTCAGCTAAAATTGCCGTTTGGCCTCCCCAACATGTCTCTCTTGAGAGCCTCATGGTCGCAAAACGCTGCCAGGGGCATCACTTTGGGAGCCCCAAGGGGGAGCCACCCTGGCTGATCTCACGAGCCCGTTCGCGCCGATTTTGGTGGGACGCCTCAGCTAGAATTGCCGCTTGGCCTCCCCAACATGTGTCTCTTGAGAGCCTCATGGTCACAAAACGCTGCCAGGGGCATCATTTGGGAGCCCCAAGGGGGAGCCACCCTGGCTGATCTCACGAGCCCGTTCGCGCCGATTTTGGTGGGACGCCTCAGCTAGAATTGCCGTTTGGCGTCCCCAACATGTATCTCTTGAGAGCCTCATGGTCACAAAACGCTGCCAGGGGCATCATTTGGGAGCCCCAGGGGGGGTCCACCAGGGGCTTCATAGTCACCAAACGCTGCCAGGGGCAGCATTTTGGCTTCCCAAAGAGGAGTCGACCCGGGCCTCCTAGTCGCCAGACACTGCCAGGGGCACCATTGGGATTCAGACTCGCACCCAGACTCACTCATACACAAGCTCACTCACACTCAGATTCATTTCTTCAGAGTCAGGCACACACAGACGTACCCATACTCAGACTCACCCACACTCAGGCTCACCTAACCCAGACTCCGTCACCAGACTCCATCACTTAACTCTCAGGCTCATACTCAGACTCACCCACACTCAGGCTCACTAAGGAGAGAAAGAGAGAGAGAGAGAGAGAGAGAGAGAGAGAGAGAGCAAGAGAGAAAGAGAGAGAGAGAAGCGAGAGAGAGGGAGAGGAGAGAGAGAGAGAGAGAGAGAGCGGAGAGAGAGAGAGAGAGAGGGGAGTTGAGAGAGGAGACAGGCGAGAGAAAGAGAGAAGAGAGAAGAGAGAGAGAGAGAGAGAGAGAGAGAGAGAGAGAGAGAGAGAGAGAGAGAAGAGAGAAGAGAGAAGAGAGAGAGAGAGAGAGAGAGATAGAAGAGAGAGAGAGAGAGAGAGAGAGAGAGAGAGAGAGAGAGAGAGAGAGAGAGAGAGATAGAGAGAGAGAGAAGAGAGAGAGAGAGAGAGAGAGAGAGAAGAGAAGCGAAGAGAAGAGAAGAGAGAGATAGAGAGAGAGAGAGAGCGAGAGACGAGAGAGAGAGAGAGAGCAGAGAGAGAGAGAGAGAGAGAGCGGGAGAGAGCGAGGGAGAGCGAGAGAGAGCGAGAGAGAGCGAGTGAGAGCGAGAGAGAGAGAGAGAGCGAGAGAGAGCGACAGAGAGCGAGAGAGAGCAAGAGAGAGCGAGAGAGCGAAAGAGAGAGAGAGAGAAGAGAGAGAGAGAGAGAGAGAGCGAGGGAAGAGAGAGAGAGAGAGAGATAGAGAGAGAGAAGAGAGAGAGAGAGAGAGAGAGAGAGAGAGAAGAGAAGAGAAGAGAAGAGAAGAGAGAGAGCGAGAGAGAGAGAGAGGGAGAGTGAGAGAGAGAGGAGAGAGCAGAGAGAGAATAGAGAGAAGAGAGAGAGGAGAGAGAGAGAGAGAGAGAGCAGAGATAGAGGCAGAGAGAGAGAGGCACAGAGAGAGAGGCAGAGAGAGAGAGGCAGAGAGAGAGAGGCAGAGAGAGAGGCAGAGAGAGAGAGAGGCAGGGAAAGAGAGGCAGAGACAGAGAGAGGGCAGAGAGAGAGAGAGAGACAGAGAGAGCAGAGAGAGAGAGAGAGAGGCAGCTCAGTCACACTTAAATCCAGATTCGTCCTCGCCGAGTCCCACCACCAAGGGAGCGCCAGCAAGGAGATGCACATATGGGGATCCCCACGCAGTGAATAATTCTGGCCCGGGGTGCGGTACCCCCGTTTTTGGCCGATTATGTTTGTGTACACCACAGCGCATGTCTAGCGGCTAGCGTGCGCCACGACGCCTTTGCGCACCACAGCTGCTTGTGTACACCGCAGCGCCTGTCTACACAACAACGCCTGTGTACACCACCAATGTCTCTGTACACCACAAAACCCGTGTGCACCGCAGCGCCTGTGTACACCATGCACACACACACACACACACACTGCGTGTGAACATGACGACGCGTATGTGCACCACGGTTGCTGCTTCAGCACCATACTCATGCACCACAGCTCCGGTGCATCAAAGTGCTTGCGTACACCACTGAACTGAGTACACTTCCAGGGCCCCTGGCAGGACCGAACTCCAGAAAATCATGGAATCCGACCGTATCCAATCCAACACGTAAACTATGTGTGATTATTGATTTTCCTTGCGCAGGGAACAGACTCTCGTCTTTTGGGCCCACAACGCGCGTGCACACCACAGCGAATGCGTGCACAGCAGCAGATGTGTACACCGCAACGCCTGTGAACACCACAAGGTGTAGTACACCACAATGACAGTGCACCACAACGCTCCTGTACACCACCATGCCTGGGATGCCTGTGTGCGTGATAACTGATGTTGCAGCAGCAGTTGTACACACCACGAAGCCTGCCTTTACCATACTTCCTGGGTGCATCACGATGCCCGCATGCACGACGCGACCTACGTGCACCGATGCTTGCGTGCGCCACAACGCCTGCATACACAACATATTGTGCTGCAACAGCAGCAAATGTGCGCACCAAATCGCCTCGCTGCCTGTGCACCGCATGCGCGCATCAATGCGCGCACCAATGTCTGTGTACGCGCTGCTCACGTGCACGTCAAGATGCCTATGGACGACGGCGGTCGTAGTCGGTCGTCGGTGTCGTCGTCGTTCGTCGCCGTGGTCTATCGTCATCTATCGTCGTCTATCGTCGTCTGTCGTCGTCTGTCGTCTATCGTCGGTCGTCGTCGTCGTTTCCCCGTACCACTCCAAGCCCCAACGTTCCGCCGACATGCATCCAAACACCAGCGTGGTGTGGCGAACACCAAAGCGCCGTTGAACACAGCGTTCCCTGCAAGCTCCCTGCGCCCCCCCCCCCGGACCTGCACAACCGGCTGGGTTAGGTGATCCTGGGGCGGGGGGGGGGGGCGAGCCCGATAACCCAGGTTATCGCCGGACCCTTGCAAAAAAATCCCTGCGTGCAGCATAGCGCACGCCCGCGTGCACAACAAACCCGAGGCTGCCCGGGATCGCGCGCTGGATCGGGGCCGGGGCGTTACCGCTACAGGGGGGGGGGGCCGGACCTGCACAACCAGCTAGGTTAGTTTATCCTGGGACGGGGGGGGGGCGAGCCCGATAACCCGGGTTATCGCCGGACCCTTGCAAAAAGCTTCCTGCGTGCAGCATAGCGCACGCCCGCGTGCACAACAGACCCTAGGCTGCCCGGGGTCGCGCGCTGGATCGGGGCCGGGGCGCTACCGCTGCAGGGGGGGGGGGGGGGGTAGGACAAAAAATGGTCTCCCCCCGAGCGAAGCTCGCCCGGGTAGCCTCCCCGCGCGCTGCGCCGAGCACGCGCACTCTGAACCTGGGGCTCTCCCCAGAGAGGTCCCTCCAGAGGCCCGACACGCTCCGCGCGGCGACGCGGCTCCCGGAGCGTTCCCAACATGGGGCTTCCAGCAAGCTCCGCTCCAGCTCCAGCGCCTGATTCCTCCATCGCGCCGGCGGCGTCGCCCGTGCAGTTGAGCGAGCAACGACATATGTACATGTACGCCCTCCGCGATCTTGAGTGCACGAACGTCCTCGTTCAAATGCCCTCCAGGGGAAGCTAAACGCGTACGTGTACATATGTTGCTGGCCTCTGAGTAGTTCACGTCCTCGAATGGAATCATGGCGCCAGGCCGTGGCGCTTCAGCCGGGCAGCCGCCTTCCCATCGTTGGGCGCCGGCTCGAAAGAGGAGGCGGCTCGGCAGCAGGGGCAGGAGGCGCGCCAGCAGGACTCCCGGCAGCGCTGGGCGGGGCGCCCTCGGGGCCACCGCTGGCCGCCACCTTCTCGAGCCGGGCCCGCACCCTCTTCAGCTCGACCTGCTCTGTCCGCCTTCTTCGGGTCGACAGGCTTGACCTCTGTCGCAGCCTCTGGCGCCGCCCCTGGCGCGCTCCGCGCGCCAGGGAGGGGGGTCCAGCGCCGATCCGAGAAATCCGCGCAAACCTCCGAGATGTTATGTTATGTCATTCTTCGTTCCCCTAGTCTCGGGAGCGACTCGGGGCTCTCTGGAGCTGCCTTGACGGCGATCTCAGCGCTCCGGGGGCTGGCCTGGGACCCTCCAGGGGCTGCGACAGGCCCTCGGGCCTCCCATCTGCGGTCGGGATCCCAGCCAAGGTGCACCCAGGGCTGGGTCCCCCGTTATACGTAGATACTTTCAGGAGATCTCCAACACAGACACCATGTCTCGATTGTTGTGAGTGGTTTGTATAACTCACGTCATAATGGAACCTTGCGCATCTGAAGGTGACGGGAGAAGCAAAAAATTAAAGGGAGGCGTGCAAGGACGTAAACTGCCTGGGCTCCTGAGGATTGCCCCCAAGAACTTGTCCCCGAGCTATGCCTCATCCCTGCTCCTCCTCCTCATCCTCCCCCTCCTCCTCCTCCTCCCTCTTCCTCGAGCAACCTTCCCCACCTGCCCCCTTCAATATTCTCTCCCCTCCTGCATTTGCCCCCGCCCGCCGCATCCTCTGGCCCTCACGCGACCCCCCCACCCCTGGACCCCCCCTCTCCCTCCCCCTCCTCTGGAGGCTGCCTACATGGGGCCCGAGGGTCGCGCCCCATCGCCGAAACATCGGCGATATATCGGCGACGCCGGGACGGAGAGAAACGAGCTTTAGATCGCGCCGCGTCGCCGATGGATCGGCAGTGCGGCACGGGCTCCCGATTCCACCTAAGTGGCCCCTGGATCCGCCCTCCCTCTCCTGCCCCATCCCCTGCCGCCAGCCTTGTCGAAGACCACCCTCTGCAAATCCGGCACCGGCAGCCCGAGCTCCTCAGGGGGAGACTGGGAGGGGGAGGGGGAGTGAGAAAGAGAACGCCTTCTCAAAGGCTCGGAAGCCCTCTGGCCTTCTGAGAAGTGTTCTAACTAAGCGTTCCCCGAAGACACTAACACATGTAAAAAAAACAGAGGGCTTCTGAGAAGTCCCGCCGCTTTCTGAGGAACCCTGTTCCTTCCCACTTCGCCCCCTCGCTCGCCGCCGAGAGGGGTGAAACGGGGAGGGGGAGGGGGGAGGAGATCTCAGAATGCTGCCCTCGCCCGGACAGCCCTTCCCCGCACATTCGTCGATCTCCTGCGCGTGCCTTCTTCGCAGGACGATCAGGGATGGTCCTCGATTGAACCTGCAAACAAACGGCATCACACCACCTGCAGCCCCACTGGGCTTAGCGTATACCGGGAAAGCCTGGCGTGGGCTTTTGCGTGGTATGCGCTACGGCCGTGGGTGGGGTGGTGTCGTCGGGCAGGCCAGTAACGCTTCCCCCACCATCCTCTGCAGAACATATCTTCCGCGCGCACGCACTCGTTTGTCGAATCGATTGTCCTGGCACGTCCGCGAGGTGCCAAGGGAATGGTCACGAAGACCACGGCCGTGAGTGGGGTGGTGCCGTTTGTTTTTGTTGCCGATCGATTGTCCTCGCCGGGACCCGCATGCACACGTCCGAGCGGTGCCAAAGGGAGTGCTCGCGAGAGCCACGGCGCGGCGGCCGCGCGCCACTCCGGGGAGGAGGAGGCGTCGGAGGTGGCGGGTTTCGCGCGCGGCGCGCGCGCGCCCCCGCCCCAGGGGAGAAGGGAACGGGCAGGGAACGGAAGGGGGGGGAGGGGGAAGGAGGGAGGGGGAAGAAGGCAGGGAGGGGGAAAGAAGAAGGCAGGGAGGGGGGAGGAAGGGAGGGAGGGAAGGCGGAGGGGGGAAGGAGGGACGGGGGGAGGGGGAGGGGGGGGGGGAGAGAGAGGAGGAGGAGGGGGAGGGGGGGGGAGGGAGGAAGGAGGGAGGGAGAGGGAGGGAGGGAGAGAGAGGGGGGGAAGAGCAGTTTGGGAGGGAAATAAAGGGGAGGTGTGTGTGTGTGGAGGGAGGAGATCTGAAGGAGGCAGGAGGGAAGAGGGAGGGCGAAGGAGGGAGGGCGGTCCTGGTGCTGTATCAATGGCCTTCGCGTCTTGGGCAATGGTGGGTTCACCTCCATATCGAGTACCACGTGCACCTAAGGCGGGGTCCCCCCCCATCTTCCTACTTCAGACGCGCTCCTCCTCCTCCTCCTCCTCCTCCTCCCCTCCTCATCTCATCATCATCTCATCACCACCACCACCACCACCACCACCACCATCATCATCATCATCACCACCACCACCATCATCATCATCATCATCATCATCATCATCAGCATCATCATCAGCAGCATCACCATCACCATCACCATCACCATCATCATCATCATCATCATCATCATCATCATCATCACAACCCAGCATCATCATCATCATCATCATCATCATCATCATCATCATCATCGTCATCATGATCAGCATCATCATCATAATCCTTCTCCTCCTCTTTCTCCTCCTGCTTTTAGTTACCTCCGCAATTCCCTCCAGAGCCCTCCTCTCCTCCTCATCCTCCTCCTCCTCATCATCATCGTCATTATCATCATCATCATCATCATCATCATCATCAGCATCATCATCATCATCATCATCATCATCATCATCATCAGCATCATCATCATCATCATCATCATCATCATAATCATCAACATCATCATCATCATCATCACCATCATCATCATAATCAACATCATCAGCATCAGCATCATCATCATCACTCGCAATATATATATATATATATATATATATATATATATATGTATATATCCTCCTACTCATCCTCCGCTTCCTCTACATGGACGCGGCACAGGCAGGGAATACTGGGAAAGCGCAGAAAACGCTTGACTGGCACCATGATAAGCTGCATACGGGAACACAAGTGCAAATATTTGATCAAAAAGGCAGAGCAGGAAGAAAGTGGGACATACATAATACACGGGAGAGTCGGGGAAACCGAGCACAGGAGATCCGAGTGCGAGGCGGCTGCCACAAGTCGATAGACAGGGCCTGAAGTGACTGACAGAAGGCGAAGGGCTTCAATACCTGCACGCACACTCTCCATCTCCCGCCTGCGCGCACGCCTCCTGCAGCTTAGACGACTCGTGTCATCAGGATGCGCGATAAGTTTGCAAGGGCCTTGGACGTCCATTTCGAAGCTTTTCGAGCGGGGCGCGGCCAACGAAAGTCGCTAAGTAAGGGCCGCAGGGGCAAGGATGCAATGATAACCTTGGGAAGGTTGCCCATTCTTACCATGCGGGTTGATTTTAGCTACTGTCACCCTTCATGTAATGCCCCTCTCCTTGGAAGGCAAAAAGCCATCCCCACCCCCAATCCCGACCTCATCCCCAAACCCGCGATCCACTGGGTCGGGACTGGGGGGGGGGGGATCGGAGTCCAAGAAGGGAGAAAACGCCCCCACCCCCAGTCCCGACCCGTTGAATCGCCGCTGGCTCGGAGCTGAGAGTCGGAACTGGCGGTGGGGGCGGCCGCCGTCGCGCCGTCGTGCGTAAGGTCCCGCCTCGCTCCGCCGCCCCTGTGCGGAGGGCTCGGAGCCTGCACTTTCTGGGCCCGACAGGACGAGAAGGAGGAGGAGGAGGCGGAGGAGGAGGAAGGGGAGGAGGAGGAGGAGGAGGAGGAAGGGGAGGAGGAGGAGGAGGAGGAGGAGGAGGAGGAGGAGGAGGAGGAGGAGGAGGAGGAGGAGGAGGAGGAGGAGGAGGAGGAGGAGGAGGTGGAGGTGGAGGACCGAGGAGAAGGAGGGGGGGCGCCTTCTGATCTCCCGCCTGCGACCCGTTTCGCTTTCCACCTCCATCCCTGCCGCTTCACACGGGGCGGTCGAACTAGCACCGAGGGCCCCTCGCCCAGAGCACCTCGTTCAGACCGAGCACGAGCTTGTTCAGGAGCCCAACGTCTAGCTTCGGCTCTATCAGCGCCGTCGTCCTTACCGATACCTGATGGCACTCACACGAACTCTCCCGAGTTCTTCCGCGCATGTGTTCTCCCACTATCCCTCTCTCCCTCTCTCTCTCTCTCGTTCTCTCCATCCCTCTTTTTTTTTTCTCTCTCTCTCTCTCTCTCTCTATCCCCCCTCTATATATGTATACATATATATGAATATATATATATATATATATATATATATATATATATATATATATATATATATGCACACACACATATATATATATATATATGTGTATGTGTGTACGCGGCCCCCCGCAGTCGCGGATAAGAGTGCGGAGGCGGCGGGGTCGCGGGCCAGGTAGTCTGAAGTGACTGTGGTCAGTCAAATAGCATCCGATCCCATGGGAAGCGGATGGCAAATAGCGCCCAGTGCCACGCTGGGGTAGTTCAGTACGGGGGGTGGACGGATAAGATAAGATAAGATCGATGCAATGATCTTTCCAGCACATAGCGAACACCAGCAGCGTCCTGGCAAATAGGGCGCGCGTGCCTTGAGCCAAAGGCAACGGCGCGCGAGCTATACTCCCGATCCTATATAACATCTCCCAAAGAGCTACCCTTCAAGTCGGGAGGGGGGGAGACGGTGAGTATAGCCGCGCAGCCGTTAGGATCCACAAAGGCCGCGCGCGCGACTGTTTACAAGAAAAACAATACGTACAGTCTGGCCTAACACCACTGTAAGGCGAGTTTCCTCGCAAAGCATTTCCACGCATACGCAAGATAGCCCTTTGAACATCAAAGGCGATCGGCCCGGCTAGAGGCAAGCCAAACAGGCTATACCTCTCCGAGCAAAAGGGCATTAAAGCACAGAGCCTGAATCAATCTGAACAGGCTCGTTGCCAAGCGTGAAAAGTAAGGCCCGTTTCCGAGCAACTAGGAGGGCGCCTCTGTATTAGGCGCCCGTGCTGGCAGACTGGACCGCGGGGGCAACAAGGACAGACTAAAACTGATTTGACTTAGGCTTGTTTCTGTCCTCAGGACCCCGAAAGGGAACAAACTGCTTCACGTCATACTTAAATGACTGAGTGCCTGACATCACCTCCAAAAGCAGCTCCCGATCGATGCTCCCCTTTGTATGCCCATCTGCGGTCATGTCTCTAGTATCACACCACTGTACGTTGTGCACTATACCTATATCCATGAGCTCACGTATACAGCTGATATGTCCCAGCAAAGCCCGTACCGTCGGTATATTAAGATCGTTGCTGGATAGCGAATTGCACACATACTCAGCGTCTATAGTAAGGGATACTTTAATGGCTAGGCCTCCAACTTCACGCATATCACGTAGTTGTCGTGGAGTAAGTGCCCCTGCCTTGAGCTCGTGGAGAGTGATGAGCGTGGGGTAGCAGTCATCAAGGTTGTGTGCAGCTGCAAGTCCGTCGCAAAGGTGGATGACGGATTTGCCTTGAGGCGAGTTTCCTCGCCGTAATACGTTAGCCCCACGGATGCCGTAGCCATTGGTCTCATCGTCTTCCTCCCCGTTGAGCTTCCGATACCCCGAGTCACTGTGTATGTCTACTTCGCTCGTCGGTTTCATCCGAGGGAAGATGATGCGTTTCGGGCTGCTGATCAGCTTCCGCGTCAAAGCATTCAGTCGTCTGACTTGTAAATTGGTGGGCACTTGGATCTTCTGGAGAGAGACCACATACACCATAAGCCAGACTTGAGTAAGAGCGGCCTAGGCGAGAGCTCCTCGCAGGCTAACAAACATGTCGGCGATGAGTTTGGTAGCGTTGGCGTCAGCCGCCGCTTCCGTAAGTTCTGGGTGTGTGATAGGACGTAGTAGTTTAATGTACTCGTCCTGATCCATGATCACATCCCCCTGTGCATTCTTGGTGTAGCGAACGGCGCGGTTCGTATAAGAATGTGTGTTGAGCTTGCATTTACCAAACACCTTTTTTCGACCCGTTGTACATAGTCATCTACGTTTTTCCCTAGGCCTGTCATGTTGATATCGTCGACATGTTTTGCCGTTAACAGATCTTGACTGAATTCAAACTCAGGATCGTAACTTGTCGGTGTGGGGCCTATAGCTCGCGTGGTCGTACGAAGCTTGAGGGAGAACGCTCTCGGGGCGTCCTTTGCACCCGTCCCTGGCTTGAGGCACCTGAGGCAGTGTCGGCTTTCATCGTAAGAAGAGAAGCCTGGTAGTGTGCGAAGCACCTGGGCGCTTCCTGGTGGAAGAGCGAAGCAAACCATGCGAGTTTCCTCGTCGGCGGCATGAGCAAGTTCCTCATAGGTAAGACCTTCGAGGAACGCTTTGTCGATATCCATAGATGCTGAAATCCATTCTGGATGACATGCCGCCTCGCTCGCCAGGAGCCCCTGGGACTGTCTTCGAGCAGTCCCTGAGACGGTTTCTACATCAAACGCCTCCGTGTCCATGAATCCGCGAAGGACAAGTCTGAGACGGATGGTTTTAACATTCTCGGTGCCTACCTTCACAAACTTCCACTGGTGTACATATCTGGATGTCATGATGTTGGAAGCTTTAGATAGGCCATACATCTCGAAGCGCCGGCTATCAAGCCAGATCTTGAGTTCGGTGCACAAAGCTGCATTAACCTCTTTAGAGTGTGCTGCTATATCGGCTTTGGTGAGTAGGTCGTCTTCCTTGACTACCACAGCGCGTTTAGCAGCTGATGATACATATACTCTCATCGTTGCGACCATGTCAGTTTCAAGCTGTGCAAGTTGGGTCAAGAGAATAGCCCTCGTCAGGTGTAGTCGAGCATAGAGAGATAAGACAGGGCTCTTGTGGTTCAGGCTCGTCTCCGAGCGTTTCCGACACTATGATATCTTCCTCGTCCACGGATGCTGAGACCAGAACACATTGGTCGGGCAGCATAGCTGTTGGGACGCAGTAGAGATGATCGTCGGTAACCGTTGTGGGATGAAGGTCCATACGTAGTTCATCGCACCACTCTTCCATCATCATAGCCTCGATGTCATGTTCCTCGCTTTCTTCATAGATTGTAGATCAGGCTGGTCATGTTCGCCAGATGTTGTGCCCAAGTGCTGATTATTGGCAAGGTCGTCATGAAAGCCTAGGGAAGGAACGTGCGACGTCAGGCACTGGATGAATCTGGAGTGAGTGCTACCAGTGATTTGAGAGATGTTCAGGCCGGTGCCCACACTCTCATACTAGTGGAAGGCTGGGTTGACGTCGTTGTCGTAGTGGATCAGTGTAGACCCGGTGGCGTATTTAACTGCAGGTAGACTAGACACGCTCTTGGCCAGTCTCACGGCTACTACACGTTCAACTCGGAAATAATTTCGCACGAGATACTGTAGTGCAAGATGTACGCGCGGGTGGAACTTGCTGTCGTCCGACGGATTGAGGTTCCCCTTGTAGTCTGGAATATAGCCAAAGACTTTGGCACGTTTCCCTGCGCCAAGGTGCGCCACAGATGTAAGGACGGTTTGCATGGCCATGTTGTCCATGCCAAGTTCCCTGGTAAGGAGGCATTCAATGTATAGCGTGTGGCGAGCATCAAGGTACATTGCAATTACCTCACGTGATCCTGCCTTGACGATTACGTGTCCTCGTTCAGGCACGTTACGGATCACAGGAAACGGCCCATTCCAGCCTCCACGGTCGTCCTTAGTGGCTGTAGGTCGGCGATAGTCGACCAAGTCCCCTGCTGAGTAAAGGCGAGCACCATCTGGGGCCGTCTTAGCCCTGAGAGCACGATTTGTCTTAGCTACCGCCGTGGCTTGTGTTATTGCTTCCAGGCTAACTTCCCTCACGCGGCGTTCTCGTTCGTGGCCTGACGTCCCGGGCCCCTTAGGGAAGTCGAGGGTGTCGAGGTCAGGAAGAAAGGAGGGCTGTCGCCCAGTGTGTGCTTGGTATGGAGATACTCCGTTGTAAAAAGTGAAAGCATTGGTGACGAAGATGCCTTCAGCCAATACTCTAGTGAATACAACAGGGATGTTGCGTCTATTCAGCTCTTCCTCAATCATATGGAGAGTGCCCCTAAGAATGCCGTTGCGTGACTCGATTGAGGTCGCGTGTTGGCCAGGCGCTCGGACACGAAGTGTCGCACCCTTGTTCGCCATCATGGCCTTGGCAGTGTCATTGCTGAGGGCGCCTTCTCCATCTGAATACAAGACTTTGAAGGGTCCAAGATAGGCAATCCAGCAGTAGTGGTAGGAGTCGAGTATAGCGTCACGTTCTCTATCAGAAATGTCTTGGCGTGCTGCCAGGCGGATACATCGGTCCATAATATGAAATATGGCTCGTTTCTTGTAAAACATGAGATCTACTTCGCCTTCGTCAAGCCAATTTCCAGGAAGGCTTACGGACGGTGACGTAGAATTACCTGGACGTTCCCATGCTCTACATTCCCGACATGTGTCGCAGATTTCGTTGATCATTTTTAGTCGAACGTTGTCCAGTCTCACTTTGTCTAGGATCAACCTCAAATTGGGTTCCTTCGCATTGTGCCACCGCAAGTGCAGTTTACGGAGTTCTTTTTTGACTACGTGAGGTTCGTGACTACGGAGGTTTTGCAGACTGTGCTGGGCGTCAAATCTCGCCCAGTCGGGCAGTCGTGGAGCCCCCGAGCCGGTTGAGGCAAGAGGGTTCCTTGTGGCTCTCCGCAGTCGTTCTCCTTCGTCAACTGCATCTGGCGGTGGTGGTGCGCCTTGTAGGCGACCACGGCGGGCCGCTACTTGTGGCGGCTCGCCTGAAGACGCTGAAGGCGTGTTTCCACGCTCGGGCGCGTCTCGCAGTACATCGAAACTGCTGGCGCCAGATGTAGGATCAGTGTTCCCAAAGGCTCGTGGTCGCGGTGGCCTGGCGCGAGCGCCCTGACGGCCACCCGATGCTGAAGCTTGGCCCCCCCCCAGGTTTGGGTGAGGGTTTCCACCAAGCTGGCACATTGTTGCCCTCGGGATCATGATCATCTGGGAGTTTGAACGGCTCAGCAAAACGATATTTGCCGGGCTCAGTGTCGAGATGGTTCTTAACACCCTTGCTTCT